GGTGTTTGGTTAGTTTTTCCTACAGTCACCAAACTCGGTACATATATTATTCTCATCAAGCTGGACAACTTTCTATTTTCCAGTCATTAGCTATGATCAACAGGAAGTCGGCTATTTTGATTTGAATGTGGATTTTTGGTAAAATCAGGCTGTGAATTATTGCATACTCCTCCTAGGAGAATCATGCAATTCACACCAAACTTTGTCTTGAACGGTGCTGCCATGGCGATTTATTAAAAATAACAGTAAAAAAAGATAACAGTAATTTTCTTACAGATAACAGTAATAAGATTAGAAATATTTTAAGCCTAATCTTGTTCAGCTCAGTCTCCATCTATTAGAATGACAAATAAATGCATAGAATCAGTTGATATGTACTGTACTTTCAGTATACTTTTACATCATTATTATTAATAATTTTTTTAATTACTATAATCCTTATAGAGCATTAAAATCATTTAAAAAAAATCTTAAAGATCATTAAAATTGTTATATATCCTATCCTCTGTCACTCATAGGATAAGAAATCGTTTAAGCCTAATCACTTACTGCTCAGTTCAGTTAGTTAGATTGGCAAACAAATACATAAAATAAGTTAATATGGTAATATGGGTTTATATAATTATTTCACAAATGCTTATAGATCATTAAAAGTTTTGGTAACACTTTACAATAAGGTCTTATTTGTTAACATTAGTTAATGCATTAACTAACATGAACTAACAATGAACAATATATTTTTACACCATTTATTAATTTTTGTTAATGTTAGTTGACAAAAATGTTGATGTTCATGTTAATTCACAGTGCATTAACTAATGTTAACAGATACAACTTTAAATTTTAATAATGTATTAGTTTTGAACTTAATATTAACTACTAATAAATGCTATATAATTATTGTTCATGTTAACTAATATAGTTAATGTTAACAACTGGAACCTTATTATAAAGTGTGACCACAGTTTTATGTACTGATCATTCAAAGTTTTGGTTTACAATAATATATTATATATATGAGCCAATGAATGAGGTCTGTCTGCGTCTTGAAGAATTTCAGCACCTTGGACAGAGACGGAGCCTTTCGTGTCCCCGTCGCGCGCTTCTGCTCTCCTCTTGACCACAAATGAGCAGCCACGCAGAAATCCATCACGACAGCAGCTCCTTAGCATTAGAACCAAGTGATTTTAAAGTCTAAGGACCAATAAAACCATTAACTGATCACCTGTCTGTTACAACTTCGGATATATTGTCTTTGAAACCAAGTTTATGACTTTGCAACAGTATCAAGATGACCTTTTCTGATTGAAAACTTTGGAGAGACAAAGAAACGTCTCACTTTGTCCTTCGGATCTACAGCTCCTTTACTCCACTCTTCGTTTCACTTCAGAATTGCCTCATTTACAAGCAGTTTATGCAGCTCGACTGACGTCAATGGAGCGGTGTGTGATGTATATAACCATTGAGCTCCAGGAGCTCCACTCCAGTCTGTCTGCAAACACTCTTCCTTACAAGTACTTTTAAAGCAACAGAAGACGACCGAGTAAGTTACCTTACACCCGACTTGCTTTCAACTTCTTGACTGAGGCCATTCGAGCTTAGACGCGAGCATGAGATCTTAGTGTTGATATTGTACAGGACTGTCATTATTGTTCATTCTGTGAGCTGATGTTCGGTCAGGAGTACATGGCGTCTGATTTCAAGATTCGGTTTCTGTAGCTAGTAGATAAGTATTAATTTTGTTGTTTATTTTTACGCATTTTTAATTTAAAAAATGTATTTATTTATTATTTATTACGATAGTGGCATGACTATCGTAGTTTTTTAACCGTAGAACAGTGATCATGTTTGTGCTTTACTTTTATTCAATAATTTATTTGTTTGGATATCTATTTGCTTTATAAACGAGTTCAGATGCAAATTCTTTTAACTCTTCATCGATATTAGCTGATGCACGATTTATATTTTTATATATTAACATTTTTATATCAATAATTTAATATTGCACATAAAATACAAAAATCTATTTTATGTTCATTTATTCTGTTTAATTAAAAATAACCAACTCTTAATTTTTGTAACTAATATTAATAATTTTTTTAAATAATAGTATTTGTTAAAATACAATCATTTATACTAGTACTTTACTACAAAACTCTAATTTGTACTACTATATAAATCAAAATAACATTTTAAAATCTTGTAAATTTTGTAATTTATATTAGCACTTTTATATTTATATGTACTAAAAATAAAATGTTCATTTATATACTTGATATTAAAAAATATAATAAACAACTATCTCAATTTTTGTAATTTATATTAGCACTTTTTAGTAATATTTACTAAAAATAAACATTTACTTTTTATTTATATATATATATATATGATTTTAAAAAACACTTATATTAATAAACTTTTACTTTACTTGATTTAACAAAAATATACGACACTCATTTCATAATCTCAATTTTGTCATTTTTATTAGCACTTTCATATTTGTTTACACTAAATACTAAATATATTTACTCATTTGTATACTTTCTGAATTTTGTCATTTATATTAGCACTATGTATATTTAACTAAAATAAACTTTTACTTTTTTGTTTATATTTGGTTTTAATTTGACAAAATATAAAAATAACTCATTTCGTAATCTCAGTTTTTGTGTTTTATATAAACACTTAACAGATACTTTGGCTGTGTAGATGTGTACTAAACTTTTGGTTTGGTTTGAACGCGCGCAGCTGTAGTAACACACCTGGCTGTTTTCCTCAGGAAGCGCGCGGCTGTGTCCAGCATGAAGCCCGTCCCTTTGGTCCTGCTCATTACTTCAGTCTTACTGACCACCCACGTCCCGCTGAGCACCTGTCGACCCCGCGATCTGAGCCTCGTAAACGACCAGCTAGACGACGTGCTCTTAAACAGGGCTGGAGACGACGCCATGTCCTACCTCCTTCGGTATTTGCAAAGAAATCTCGGAGCGCAGAAGGCAGGCGGTGTCCTGCATCTCCCGCACTTCTCCACGCCGCAGCTGCGCTCTCCTCACGAGGACAACAGCTTAGAGGAGCTCACGGAGTTTTCCAAACGGAACGACGATCCTCCGATCTCCATCGACCTCACCTTCCACCTGCTGAGAAACATGATCGAAATGGCGCGGATCGAGAATCAAAGGGAACAAGCGGGACTGAACCGCAAATATCTAGATGAGGTTGGGAAGTAGCTGTAGCTCAATGATGATGCGTTCAATCGGCGAGTAAAGAACAAGCTCAATGCACTCTTTCACATCCCCAAACTCTCGTTAAACATATGACTTTCACCGATGCCTCCTGCTCGACCCACACTCTTAGAAATAAAGGTTCTTCAGTGGGTTCTTGCCACTGCAAAGAACCTCCTTCTCGTTCTTGAGTTAAGCTGAGGTTCTTTGGAGATGAAAAATATAGGTTCTTCAGATGATGCTATTAGTTTCTGGGTTCCTACAGAAAAAAAAAAGTTCTTCAAAAAGGTCACTTGTGGCACCAAGGTTTATGTGGAACCTTTATTTTTAAGAGTGGCATCTATCTGTTCACCAGAAGAGTTTCTGGTGACCTGCTGCTGTCTCCATCACTTCTGGACCATTTCAGAGCCAGGAACCAAGAGCCACAACAGACCTACCAGGACCTCAAAACACTGCCCACGGCAAATGATCAGTCAGGGTGGTTCACATGTAACCGAATCAATCCACAATTGACTGGTGCCCTTTGAGTGTTTACAGTTATTGGTCTCCTAATTAGAGTTACACTCTTAAAGGTTCTTAATTGGCATCTATGGTTCCATAAAAAAACTTTTAACATCCATGGAAACTTCATAGTGGTTCTTTAGATTATTAAAAAGTTCTTCACACAAAGAATGAAATGGTTTCACTGAAAGGTTATTTGGGGAACCCAAAATGGTTCTTATATGGCATTGCTGTGAAAACCCTTCTTTTCATTTGGAACCTTTATTTTTCAAATGTGTATAAATGGAAGGAGTATTACTAAACCATTACAAATCTTGTTAGTATTTGAGTAACCAGTCCATATATAATAGGGTTTGCATCAGTATTGCTCACTAGTCACTTTAATGAGAGCTATTCTCAATGAAGTACAAGAAGGCCATTGCCAAGAGTAATTTCTGTTCAGCTGGTTTGGTTGCACCCTCTCGCTTTGCCAACGGGAGTGCATGCTTTCATGACATAAAATGCTATACTTGGTAATAACACCAATATTTACCACATGCATAATGCCAGATGCTCACTGTATACTAAGTGCAAAAGTATGTTCTCCGCACATGGTGGGAAACAATGATCTGTAGCACTTCAACCAAGAGGCTTACCCACATTTTGTGACAATAATGTTGGACAATATTACAAAGTGCTTGAGATATACTGTACATTGTATATTGCTTATCATTATGTAAATTACATATTATATTGCACCTAAATGAATAAACATGACTTTGTATTTTGAACATGAATCTGCAAAAATAAATGAGGCTACATGCCTTTTACAAGTAACTGCAAACATGTAAACCTCATTATCACCCATTAAAAGTGGTAATGATTATAGCAGACACAGGTTTATAGGAAGCCAGCATCACTGACATTTACACAAGCATTAACGTCACGCAGAACATAACAGTGGTGAGTAACAGGTGAGATGCCACTATAGAAATTGCTGTACGTTCTTTTGAAATGTTAAATGCATACACTAAAAAATGCTGGGTTAAATACAACCCAGTGCTGGGTAAAATGGGGACAAACCCAGCAATTGGGTTGTTTTGACCCAGCGGTTTGATTAAATGTTTAACCCAACCGCTGGTTCAAAACAACCCAATTGCTGGGTTTGTCCCTATTTTACCCAGCACTGGGTTGTATTTAACCCAGCATTTTTTAGAGTGTATAATGAACTGAAGGGCTGTAACAGTATTAATCCAAAAAGCTTTCTTAGAGGTGATACTACCAGTTGAACTAAGTAGTGATTTATGTTTTTTTTTTATTTTTATAAGACATCTTAATGTTGAGTGTATTTGTACAGCTATTCAAAGTAAATTTTAAAATATATAAATATTTCACAATATTACAGATTTACTGTATTTTTAATCAAATAAATGCAGCCTGCAACATAAAAAAAAAAATACTGACCCCTTTGAATGGTAATTTGCATATATATATATATATATATATATATATTGTTTGTTTGTTTTTTGGGGGGGAACAAACCACAAATGTTTTCTGGTTTCCTATGAGCTCATTTTAAGATAAAAAAAAGACCAAAACAGTTTTAAACATCCAGGATGTAGAAACTACAAAGAATTTGTAATTCCTCTTACTGAACTAAGAGGAGTTTTAGGACCACAAAATACCAGATGAAAGAAGCTCTTGCCGTGTTGAAAGGATTAAAGAAAACCTCCTCCTTATAGTCTCTCTTAAGTCAGCACAGGAAATACCCTAGAAATGAAAAATAAAATATATGAGTTAAGTCTTCCATAATCTTCCACTTACACTGAGTCTATTTTAGTCATAAATGGGGCAAGTGGGAGAGGACAGTGCGTGCTTTGCATTGGCAAGAATATATGTTGACTGAACACTCATTTCTTAGGAAGTGCCATTGTGCAAAACTGCATGTTACGTAAACTGTTTGTTTTTCATATCTAAAGCCATTTAAGCATAAAATAAAGAAAGGAAACTCTAAATGATATATTAAGCTCAAGTAACTGTTAAACAAGTGGCATCTCGTCCCGCAGATTGGTTCTCCATCCTGCTTCTGATACCCAAACAAATCTTCTTACTCTAGGAAGAATTACAGCTTTAAATTACACGAAGGCCGGTGCATCAGCTTGTGATGCACCACGTCTTCAAAATAAGATCCATTCTCATCTCGAGTGGACACTCCATGTATGGAATTGTTGAGCACATACTCAGACCGAATGCTGCTCTCTTTCCCTCCATGAATTGATCAGTGGGGTGACAGCAGAAGTGACAAGGTCAGCGTCTGTGAGCACATGCATCCAGTCATATATCTCCACTGCCATATATCCTAGCTGGTGGCACAGAGACGAGTGGTTATTAAGTAATGGGTGGATGTAGACTCACGGCTCGAACGCAGGTGGGGGCGGACGGACCATCGGAAGCCGAGAGGAGGGATTCAGAGTGCCTGCCACTGTGATTTAGCCCTGTTCTCAACACTGCTCTTACTGTATGGACACACGGTCCTATTAGATCAGTAAAGGACCAGAGAAAGCTGCACGCTGTCCTGGCCCACGCTGCCCTGATTAACTGAGGTTTCTGACCTTTACATTGAAGTAAATGAACGGTTATTTAAAGAAAGCATGCACAGGTGGGGATGCCCCGTAAGACAGGATACCCACTGTTCAAAGAACAGGAAATGTCTTTTGAGCAAATGCTATTTTACAAGTTAAGCCCTGTTTGTAGTATGTATTACACATTGGTTAGTACGTTTTGTATGTTTACTCACCACATGTTGTTGCAACCATTACTGACTTCCTTACATAGAAAAACAAAAAGGATAAATGATATAATGAAAGTGAATGGTGATTAGGGGCTGTCTTCAAAAATGTCAATAAATCAATCAATCAAAAAATCAAGGGAGTGAGGAAGAGAAATTTAAATCAATGCTTTTTGACAAGAAAAGGTGCATTGACTGAGAAGAGATGCAGCAGATATGAAGATCTTCTGTGAATAACAACTTAAATTTTTGCCTGTTTTTTTCTTAAAGAAATGATTTTAAGGTGCTTTTTTTTTCTTCTTTTTTTTTGGATCTCTACATCCTTTGGTGACCCTTAGTGTCCAAATTTTATTTTAATACATTTAATTTTGAACTATCCACTATACAGTGGGTACGGAAAGTATTCAGACCCCCTTAAATTTTTCACTCTTTGTTATATTGCAGCCATTTGCTAAAATCATTTAAGTTAATTTTTTTTCCTCATTAATGTACACACAGCACCCCATATTGACAGAAAAACACAGAATTGTTGACATTTTTGCAAATTTATTAAAAAAGAAAAACTGAAAAATGCTCAGTATTTAGTAGAAGCACCCATTTGATCTAATACAGCCATGAGTCTTTGTAATAATATTTCACAATATTACTGTTTTTATTGTATTTTTGATTTTTAAAAAAACTGCAAGTTGAGCATTAGAGACGTCTTTCAAAATGTCTTACTGACCCCAAACTTTTGAACGGCAGTGGAAGTTCTAAGCATAACATTTGTAAAAGCCAAAATACACAGCATACCTAAGGCTAAAATTATTCAATTCAATAAAATTATTAAATTATTCACAAAACAAGTTCAATGAGTCTACACATTAAGCATTTGGAGATCAATTAAATGCAGGCATCAGCAGAAAATAAATAAATTGTAGTATAAGGGATTTCAATATGTACAGAACAGAATATTACCCACAATATTGAGCCAGATGAAAGCTATGAACCAATGCATAATACAGTGGGTTGTTAGGGGTGGGAGGCTGGTTGAGTCATTGCCTGTGAGGTTGTTAATCATGATTGTTAGCCTTTAGAAGGTATCAGTTATTGATGAAGCACACATGCTGAGCATGGTTTAGTTTAAAGGGACAGGGTGAGAAAATGATTTTTGGGTGAACTATCCCTTTAAGACACTCCTAAACGCATCACTCATAGCTGACTTACTTCTTGAACACTTCCTTTGCATTCTGTGAACACAGCAAAGAAGAACACTAATTTTAGGACTAGAGGATACAGCAGCAGATTAAAACATAAAACCTGCAGTCCTCATCGTCACAGTTTCACTGCATACACAAAAAAAAAAACATACTAAATCACTGGCACTTGTTATGCAGCCTATTTTGACACTCTGTTTCCACTGAGAAGAGCTAGTTAAAAAGGAGCAGTGCTGCACCTGAGGCTGCCACTTTATAGTGAAAGCTGTTTCAAAAAACAACCTCTCCATCACCTTCGTTTAAAGTCTCTTTCCGCGGACTGCAGCTCTCAGCCATGGTGAAGTATTGACCGTTTGAGCCACTAGTCAAAGGACAGGGGTCTCCAGCTGTGTGAGGTTCTGCTAATCAATGTCAGCCTTGTCATTAAAGGATGCTTGAAATGTAGCAACAGGCACCGTGTCAATCAGCAAACAGCATATGCAAAGGCTGGATTTGCATCAAGCATCTCTGGGGGGCTCTAAAAGCAACAAGCACTGCCGCCAGCATCCCCGGTGAGGTGTTGCAGCATTAGCTCCACACAGCTCAATAAGACCACGTCAGATGTTCACAAGCACCTGTACCACTATTGATCACTGGCGCCAGAGGTGTGCGTGAGTTAGGTGTAGAAAGTGACCATTTAAGACACGTTTATAGTGTTGCAAACTACTTCGAGGCTAAAAATCTAGAGACTTTTAAGTATTTAACTTTGGTGTACTATTCAGATATGAATGATAATCAAATCATGTGGCTTGTTAAGGAAAGGTGTGCTACTTTTCAAGTGATTGGACTGGGGTTTTGCTTGGCTTTTTTATAAAACAGTATTAAAAAAAACAGATGTACATTGAAGGAGGGTGCCAAAACATATTTAGAGATCAGAATATTATAGAGACTTCATACACTCTAAAAAATAAAGGTTCTTTATTGGTATTGATGCGTACCCACTGTATATATTTTTACTATTTAAAATATTTTTTTTTAATTTAACTGTTTATCATCACTGGCTAAGGCTGGGCAATATATATATATATATACACACACACACACACACACACACACATGCGATTAGGAAATCGCAACGTCTCAAATCGCGATTTCGATTCGATTTCGATTAATCGCACAGCCCTACTCTGGACTATATTTGATATCAATTTTGATATATTTTGATTTAGTCTATGTATTTGGTCTGAAATGGCTAAAAATGGTGAATCAGAGGATCCATCATTTTAACTTCACAACCACAGCAGCCAAGAAGATTCAAAATGTTAAATGCAATAATTAAATCATAATGAATATATTATGAATATTCAACATATCACCCAATCCTTTCACACAATATCATAATTGTTGTGGTTTACAGTACCATTTATTTCTCACCTTGACAGTCCTACAAATATCCTCCATCTGTGAGATCAGGGCCTGTGTTCCGTCATTTCCGGCCACTAAGATGGCTATGGCATCACTTAGCTCTGTCTGAGACAAAACAGAGCAGAATATATCCAATTGTGACAGGACCTCATCAAAAATAAAAGAAAGAAAACACATGACCAATGCGATCAACGTGTCATCTTTCACAAGAAAGCCATGTCAGATTTGGCTATGCAACTTGTGAGAACCACACTTACAAATAAGAGAACAGCATGTGAACTAAAGGCCGAGATTGTAAGAATGTTACCAGTCATGACTGATCAAACTTTGCGGATTTGCATTTGAAATGAGTGATTCACTGTTTATAGTGGGCCATGACTAAAAGAGAAAATGTCATCATAGCCACCTGGCAGAAATTATGGCTCTTTTTGAGCCTGTTTGGGCATCAACCACCCTACGACCCTGGTGCGTTACATCATTCAGTTACAGTACCTCAAAACCAAGAGCCACAGAAGTAGATATACAATAAAAAGAACCTATTTCCTACTATGAGAACTGACCTTCAGCATAGGAACACTGCAAATAACAGATCAACATATGGTGTCCACCATGCACATGGTTTTCTATTGGGAAAGGCTGGTAGGTTTAGTCATTGTTCATCTGGTAGCTGCTGAAGGGAGCGAGAGAGCTGAGAACAGGCACTTACAGAGGACAAAAATGAGAGACAAAAAAAACGTAAAGACCAGAAGAAGCTGCTATGACTCAAACACAACAGGGAGGAGTGACTCATTTCTCAGGGCCAGTTGCACCCTGGTACGAAGACCTTCATTACTAGCCATACCACAAGAGGTGCAGTAGGTCAAGACCTCAATACCATGTAGGTCAAGAATGCATCGGAAAGTGAGAAAATTGCTGTGATGCTGCATGTTTTATTTTGTGTGTGTCATAAAACACATTTGTCCTGTTTGTTTTGTTTAAAACAATCTTTTCTTAAACATAATTATCTTGGACCTATTTTAAGCGTATTGTCTGTTCTGTAACGTGTAATTATTGGTGCTTGTTAAAGCTCATTGCAATTGCTTATACTTAGGGTTAGTGATGTGAACAAAACTTCTAACCTGTTGTAAACTTCAGTGCGTGATTTCGCCCTGGATCATTTGTGCTACGGACATGAATGACACCTTAAATTGTGTGATTTGTTATTGTGTTATTAATACTGTAGTTTAAAAAGTGATTGGATTGGATTTCATAGAAAGGGGGGGAGGGCTCATTTAAAGGAACAGTTCACCCAAAATGAAAATTTGCTAAAAATGTACTCAACCTTAGGCTATCCGAGATGTAAATGATTTTGTTTCTTCATCAGAACGGGGCTGGAGAAATTTAACATTACATCACTTGCTCACCAATGGATGCTCTGCAGTGAATGGGTGCCGTCAGAATGAGAGTTCAAACAGCTGATAAAAACATCACAATAATCCACAAGTAATCCACACCACTCCAGTCCATCAGTTTTATAAAACAAAAAGCTGCATGTTTGTATGAAACAAAATCAACCAAGGCGTTTCAACTTTTAACCATCGCCTCTGGTCAAAATACCGGTCCATAATCCATAATAACACTTCCTCCACTGAAAAAGTTAATCCCCTACTGTCCTCTCACATCAAAATACACTGATATATTTGTTCAGAACTGTTTTTTAGACTGTTTTCACACTTGTATATTTCTCTCCTGATACAGATGAGATTCGTTTTTCACTATAGAAAGCAACATTATGGAGAGAAATATCTTAATGATGGATTTGTTTCTTACAAACACGCAGCTTCACAAGTTCTTTGATGGACGAAGTCATGTGGATTACTTGCACATTATTGTGATGTTTTTGTCAGCTATCTAGACTCAATTCTGACGGCACCCATTCACTGCAGAGGATCCATTGGTGAGCAAGTAACAATGCTAATTTGCTCCAAATCTGTTCCGATGAAGAAACAAACTCATCTAGATACCATAGTCTCAGAGCAGCCTGTGATTTTTATGAGGTCATTTACACCAAACAAACAAAGTAAAAAAAAAAAAACGATTGTCAGGTTGAAGAAGTCAAATACAAATCCTCTACCTTCTGTCTCTTGTAGATGTCTGGCAGCGGGGCCACATCACAGCCCTTGTGAGCCCCGAACACTTTGCACATAGAGCATGTTGGTGTCTCACAGGTGAGGCAGTAGATGTTGATCTTCTCTTCCTCATGCTGGTCACACATCAGCTGCTGTTGTTCTGTTTTGGGCAGGAGTGGTCTGTAGAGTCAAAACAGAAAAAAATGTTTGGCATGACGTAAAGGTTAAACATTTGCATTGGTAAATAAGAAGTTGCAAATTTGAGCTATCATAACTGTGCCCTTTTGCAAGGCTCTGACAAGAAGTTCAACAACAATCATAAAAACATAATATATAAATACATTATGTAAAAAAATATATAAATAAATATACATTAATATAATTATATTATAATTTCTATATATTTAATGACACCACTAACATGCTATTGGAGCATGTTGTCACAGAATGTGAAAACCTAATTGTCTTTTTTTGTTCTGGGCAATAACAGCTTCTAACAATACCTTTTTTTACAGCTATATGACTTTAAGATATGTGTCTGTACAGAAACTGACTTTCAAATATACAGTACAAACAAAAGGAAATATTTTTTTCTTGACTGATACAGTATATTTCCCTAAAAATGTGAAAAGCTCAATACCATAAAACAATTTTAAAAGCAATCAAAAATTTTTTTTTTTGCCATACAGCACCACAAAATATCTTTTGACTTTATAAAAATAAGGGATCTCTTATAAAACTACTATATTTTTTATTAACTCAATTAAAATTTGAATTAGAATTCTGCATCCTGTTTGCTGCATCAATTCAAATTCAAATATTAAAAGACGGTCTCAATTCAATTCGGAATAACGAATGACATTGATTGTTATACCCATCTAAATGTGTATGTAATGATAAACTACATACAACAAGCATTCTTTCTTTGTGACAGAAGAGGTACAATATCACTTCCCTTGAGGTGAATCACTATAATGGGAGCTGATGTGAAATTTTGACTTTAAAGGCATTTACAGCAGGTGCTGCATTTAAAAGTGATTGATGCAACTAATATGATAGTCTGTCCTAAAATGAGCACATTACTCACACAGACCTTTTCAACAAGCATCTGTCTTGATCTGTCTTGTCAAGTGGAAAGAGATGCTTTGAATGTGCAGTGTGTTGGCAGCAGGCCTGCTCAAAACAAAGTCTCTGTTTATGAAAGACTGCCATCCAGTGGATGTCTGCTGATATGACAGTTATATAAAATGATATTAGGGTGGAAACTTGAAAGAGAGATCATAAATATAGGTTACAAATCTATTTATACTTTTTGCCTTTATATTTGTCATTTTGTAAGTGATCTAAAAACATAAAATCTCAAACTATGATATATTTTAATAAGATTATGTCTGAAAATTGAATTGAGACATTCTCGAAATATCCTTGAAATACCTAAGAAAACGAATAAAAATAAGGCATTTTACTTCCATAGTGTGATGTATTTCCGAGTGAAATGATAATAAATGAATGAATGAACGATAGGAATTAATTGGCAGAAATTTCATACTAGAATGGAGCCAGTTTCCAATATTTGTAAAATGAGCTTTTTTGCCTTGTTTTTAATTTATCATAATCATAAAACAAAAATGTACTTAAAATAGCATAAGATTTAGTTCTTCTTACCCCATGAGTATTTTTTTTAAACACATAAATCCTCACAAAATTTGATTAGATTTATACTTAAAACAAGACAAAACCTGACTGAAATCAGAAACAAAAAGAAAGCAAAAAAAGCTAGAAAGAAAGGGTTGTTTAACTTATTTAGATGAAAGATTACAAAGACAAACTATTTTTCTTTAAAATAACGTACAGTGGAAGGTGTATTATTAAGAAAGGAAATACAATCACTTTTAATTTCAATAATTTTTACATTTTTCTTATAAAATCCAGTTTATGATACACACACTTGATCTTTTGTGTCTTTGAAACAACCTCTACATTCAGGTGACCTGCTTTTTGTCAAAGACACTAATAACCATGTTACATTTCGTATTCATGATAAGCACCTGAGCGTTTGTTACAAAAGACCTCAAAGTCAATCTATCTTATTATACCCAGTTATGCATATTTTTCACAGGAGTTCTCATGACACATTGTTTATTGCCACAGGGATAAAGCGTCCTAGTTATATTTAGTATTTTGGCAAAGGATTGGAGCAGTCACCAGAGCCTCAGGTCCCATTTCTCTATTGCGTTTACGTGACGTGGCAGAAAATCTCCCACAAGCGGGTAAATCACATATTTGTGTCACTACACAGGGTTTAAGCCTCATTGATGAAACAGAACAAGTGTCGGGTATTGGTGTCACAAGACTTTTGAAACACAATTAAAATCTGTTGGCATACAGTGTATTTCTGCTACACCGCTTGGGGCGTTGCTGGATCTCTATACAGAGAAGACTGCTTTGAAATATGTACAACAAATAGCTTTCGTTCATATCAGTGCTTCCAGAACAGAAATGTTTGTTCTTGGTGTGTGGAACAGGTCCGGACAAAAACAAAAAAGAGTGCTTTTGAGATGCATCAAACTTGAAACTGACCTGGTAGACTCAGATTTGTAGATATCAATGATATTCTCCACTAGCAGGTTCCTCTGGAGGCCATATACGCCGTGCCGTTTCAATAAAACCTCATGCCGACAAGATGGGCAGCGGAAACGTCCCCCTGTAGACACAGTGCCCCGGTTTTGCCAAAGAGGGTTGGAGGCCTGAACCAATGAAGGATAAATGTTGAATAAATATTAGTTAATCAATATTATTTACTGTATAGCATTTCACAGAAAAAAAATCTCCTAAGACTGTTTCATCCACCTGCATTTTTATGTAATAAAGAAAGTAGGACTTAAGAAAAGAGCAGACCTGCTGTAAAAGGTAATACTTGTGGCCAATTAATAGGTGAATGTATGGATACCTTTGCCCAGCAAAATGTAATTTGTCTGTCAGTTATCTTTGGGTAACTGTTAAAAGTAAACGATGAGAAATATTATGGATCGATAGCAGCACTCAATCATGTTAAAGTCTGGCCCAAAGGCTCCCACTCCACTCAGAGGGAATACTAATGGCGCCACTGAAAGCTGAACCTCTTTCTGAGGATGAGATGACTAGACTAATACCTCACAGGAGCAAGGTAAAAAAGATCTGGCACAAATAAGAAAGGCTAAATGGATCATTCATCTCTATTAAACAGTTGCTGTGGGCCTCTGAGGTCTTGTTTCATTCTCACAATTCAAAATTCAACTCATTAAAGGTCTTTTAAAGTAAATTAGGTTGAAGAATACTGTATAGCTTCTAAAAATAGCTTTGGTAAGTTTATTAAGCGCAAAAAAAGCCCAAATTTACAACACAGCTCACACCAACCATTATCAACCTCTGTTCCATAGTAGCGTCATACAACATTAGTTCCAGTTAGGTCCTTGGATTTGATTGGCTGTGTGGCGTTTCATGCCACCGGACACATTTTGCTGTTTGTATCACTCCGCTTGTTGAAAAAAATCACTGGTCTTGTCTGCGATTGCCCATTCCAGACAAGCGGTGGGCATTTTAAGTGGCCCTTTCTGCAGATTACATTGATATGGCATGTGGCGCCAACAACTGAGTGAATCATGACTCATTCACTCAAAAGATTCGCTCAAAAGCACAGATTCATTCAGGAACGACATAAGTCTTAATGAGTCATTGTTGAATCATTCACTCAAGTGATTTGTTTATTTGAAACACCAATGTTGCTTGGATAGACGGTTGATTTTGCTTTAATTTTGTTTGGAAGTATTTACTTAGCGGAGAGAAAATAGACAGCCTAACTGCCAATATTTTGTCTAAAATGTAGGTTATATTATTATCTTGTAATCATGCTGTTCTCAATATCATCATGGCTGTGATTCAGTCTTAATCATTTTAAAAACCAGATGCTAATAAGTGTGTACATACACAACAATTACAACAATAATTGTTGGACTACAACAATTGCCCAATTCATAAGAACTTACACTCACATCCTTACAGTAGCTGTAATTTGTTATGGTAGCTGTATTTGTTGTAAGCAACTTGCATTCAGGCTTATATGAGGTAATATATGGTGTAGAACAAAATGTGAAATTCTCTTCAAGTTAATTTAACCACAGAACTTATTTTACTCATAAATCCATATCCGCTATTCCAAAAACCCATAAAGAATTCCAAAGGGAATAGATGGCTTGAAAATGTTGATTATCTTCCAGGTTTTAGGACTACAAACTGAACAGCTCTATGTTAATGAAGTTTCTGGATGCTTCAGAGAGAATGATAGTTCAACATGAAAAATAGGACACTACCACACTATATATGAACCAATACCTGGTAAACATCATTGGCACACTTCCTGCAGAGATTATGCTGGCAGGGTAAGATGACCACAGGCTTGGTGAATATCTCCAGACAGATGGGGCAAATGAGCTGCTTCTCTAAGTTCTCCACTGAACAGGTCATGCTATATTGTGAATATAGCCTTTGATAATGCGGTTGCATGCTGACTCTATTCACAAATTAGCATGGGCTCTTATACTTTATTGCTTGAACAACCAGACCTTCCCCAAACGTCCAGGAAATTTGGCAAATAATTTCTGACCCACTCTTGGCAAAGCAATTGGACTGCAGCTGTCATCATACACCGGAACCAAACCTTTCAACATGACCATCACCTTTGTTAAATCTGACTGTGCACTTCCTATTAAGTATGTTAACAGGGCTGTTAATGAGCGTATGGAGTTGTACGCTAAGCTGATTACAAGCTTATGGGTACAACTTTAGCACATGGAAGCTGCAGTGTGATGTTAACGATAATAGGCCTGAGCTACCATTAATTTCCGAACATAGACAAATAGTACTAATTAAAAAATTAAAACTTTTATGACAACATTGGCGTACATGTAAGTAATGTACATTAATGTAACCTTCATGCAATAGAAGTAACAATCACAATAAGAATCACTCAAATGCAAAGTTTTACAAATCCCCATTTAATGAAGTCAGATTCAATAATATAAACAGACAATGAAATATGTGATGCATTACGAACCATACTGAATAAAAACAGGAGGAAAATAACGATGTAGTGCTGTGGTTCTTGGCTTGTTTTTGGCCGTTGGTAAATTCAGACCAGATTCAGACCAGACTTGGCTTTTCCCCCTCATCAAACAGGTTATTACACACAGCATCATAAAACTTAATATGTACACTGGTGAAGAGGCCAATACCTCTCAAATTCTTTAAAATCATAATTATCATTTGAACCCCAAAAAAGTAAGTTGTTGACTGCAGAAATGTGCCTTGTGCATTGAAATCAAGTGATCCAGTGAGCATGGCAGATTATATCCCAATGCTTTTTAATGAATGTCTGCCTTTATCTCTTTCTTTTGGCAAGTTTATTCTCTGAAAGCAATATCCATTCTTGGCTATAAGAAAATGCCCCCCAAAATGACAACCAGAACAGACAGATGACCATACACTACTTGAAATTATTACATACATTTCTATTTGCACATAGAAACAAAATGGTGTACAATCCAAGTATATACTATTGCATTCGGAACAACAATTTATAGGGAAAACATTTGGCATCTAATGTACTGACTCTAATGTAGTGTTTCTAACAGTAACTGGCTGACTATTGTTGAGTCCTTCACATTTAACATGACGGGCATTTCCTTATTGCTAAAATCATGAGGCTTGCAGATCCAAGTTTTGAAATCAAGTTTACACAGTGCATCGTTTCACTCAGAACATGTCATACACATTAATCTCAATTCTGATATATTAAAAATAAATTAAGATCATTAAAAATATTTTCGTTTTGTCATATGTCCTAAGAGCACAAAGATAGCATAGGTTTGCTCGATGATTTGGCATAGTGTTCACCAAAAACAGGGTTGATCCCATCTCAGCCCCTTTAAACAAATGAAAACTTCACATTTACAGATTTTTTACGCAGTTGAGTAGTAGTTGTAAGGGTTGAAGCAGTTAGATTTGCATTAGAAGCCTCCTATGAAGGTAGTGGAGAAAAAAAGTGCATAGAAAAAAAATAACTTTCACCAGCATATTCAAGTGTTCTGATTTTAGGGAAATGTACGACCATTGCACATGGCTTGGAATACCAAGCATGGCACATCAGCTGACATTTGAGGCATCTGCCTTAACTTTGGTTAGAAAAAGTTGTTACGCAACTGTCTTGTCATTTGCGTACGACTGACCATTTCGATCTTAATTTACGAAATGCAATATAATGCAAATGTAACAGATGACTGCAAACTTGAGAATGGAAAACACTGCCATCTAAAGAAGCAAACTAAAACCATCTAAAGAAGCAAACTAAAAAAAGGTGCCATGTTGTGGCTCCGCATTTGGATGAAGATAAGTGGGAGGGGTTTTTGCACATGTTCCTATGCTGTATAGTAGTGGCATGCTGTTATTGCTTTGCATGCACTCACATGAACATTCCACTCATGTCCATGCGTCTAACATATATATATATAATAAAAAAATAAATAAAAAGAAAAGAGTAAAAAATTAAATAAATAGCCAGAACCAAAGAGAAACACCCCAAAAGTAAAACCCACTTCCCACCTGGAGCACTGCCCAGTGGCACCAGTCTCATAGCTATATTATTTTGAAATGAACGGGTAGTTATATACGAACAGACAGACATACACACCAGTGGAGACACAGATGAAGTGAGACTGGCAGAGGCTTCCTTGTCTTTTGGCAAACTGCCACTCGATTCCAGTGGGTCAGAGTCCGGGTATGGCGGAGTGGCACAGTTTAGTCCTGGTGCCATGATGCCCTGTGGTCAGCACACTACATCAGGGGCCTTAGAGTCCATCAGCAGGACCCCCTCAGTAATGACTGGACCAGGACCAGGCAGGTGGCTCATTTCTGGGTGTTGTACGTGGACTGGCTGGCTGCGAAATGTGTGGACTCTGAGGTGTTGAGGGTGGAACTGGGCTGGATCAAAATAGGGACATTTGAGCCTACAAAAAATAATAAAAGGACAGAAAAATAAACAATAAAATAATAAAGGACAGAATTAGGATGCTTTTGCTTTAGCAAAACTACAAAGCAAGGGTCGACCAATAAGAGTTTTGGAAAATGTCAAGATCAGAGTTGCCAATATAAAATACAGATATCATCATATTTCATTATAATAATAAAATATATAATTATAGTATATAAGTAATATATATTATTTTTAAATATGTAGCTTTATATATTATATTTTAGCTTTATATATTATATTTTAATCTCCTAATAACATAATTTACAAACTTTATTATTTAAAAAAATAAAATTTGCATTATCCACTGGCATGATTGTAGGTAATTTTTAAAACCACAAGAGAGAACTACAATTTCTGTTCAACATCCATGTGGTCAATAATCTCAAAATGGTCAAATATCAGCCGACATATCGGTCTACTAGCACTATCAAGTTGAAGTGAATTAAGTTGCGGCATGCGTTTATGCAGATAAACACAGACTCTATTTGCCTTTCGTTTGCATGAAGCCATCACTTTTGAGGATTAGAAAGCCAAAAGTACAGAACATGCAATTTTACTGGAGACGCACTGCCAGTAGGTTTTGATTGTCTGAGGGATATGTGGGATTTCATAGCAGGAAATATACACACTAGGGGTGTAGCGGTACACAAACATGACAGTTCGGTACGTACCTCGGTTTTGATGTCACGGTTCGGTACAGCAGGGGGGAAAACTAAACAAATTTTTTTTTTTTTTCAGTGGTTTACTGAACAAATTGCTCTTTCTTAAAATAAATTCAACTACAATTAAAATTTTGCATAAGGAACGAAAACAGTGCTGAGTTCAAACAGATGATAGAAATGAATTAACATACCTGAAACAGTTTTCACAGCATTTGAATTTTCAGTGGATGCAATCTCATGCACTCATACAGCGCAGTGAAGTGAGCGAGTTTCTTCCTATTAATAATGTGGACCGATCGAGCCTTTTAATAATGACGTCGCTCTGAGACCCTTACAAATTGCTCTTTCTTAAAATAAATTCAACTACAATTAAAATTTTCTTAGGGATAAAAATCTACCTCAGTTTATGCTCTAAACCCGGGGTTCCCAAACTTTTCCATTCCACGACCCACCTAGACAAGTATAAACTATTTCACGACCCACCAAAATATTTGAGATCAAAAAACAATTGACATTAGCCTTGACCCACAAGTGGGTCGCGACCCACAGTTTGAAAACCCCTGCTCTAAACTATAGGGAGCCCTTTAAGTTACTATAAGGTTACAATTAACAACTTAAAATGTAATTACTATTTATTTTTAAACAATCAACACTCAACTTAAAATGTATACAAACATGTAAATTGCACATAATGCAGTTTTTTAATTAACTTCTAAATTGTATAAATTCTATTTGTTGTTGAAATATATTAATTCACAGTGGCTCTCATAACAGATTTATTTAAACATACATTAAATAATTAAGACATCACTAACAGGTAAAGTAAAATGTAATGATTATAAAGTCTAATTATATTTCTCTAGACTTCATTTATAGCGAACTACTGAGCTGTGGACACGAATGACTTTCTGATGCAATGAAATGCTGTGACGTTTTGTTTACAAGCTATTTTATTGACGTGTTTCCGTGGTTGAAACACTGATTGAGCGATTACATGAGTCACGAGATGTTCATTCATGTTTATTTCGCTTTAAAACTAGTAGTAAAGAGGAAGGGATGATAGCTCTGACTCGCGCTCCCACTTGTACTGAGGTGTTTATATGAGATCTGTCACACCACATCAAAGAGCATCAAAACGGGATTTATTGTTTGAATTTCCTGAATAAAATGGACATAATTTGAAAGATGAGACTTTGATTCTTATCAAAAGTAACAATATAAAACTGGAAGTTTCAAATGAAGTTCCACTCGTGAAGTGGTTAAAACAACGCTGTATTTGTTCGGTAAACATGCGTACCGAACCAAAAGACCCGTACCGAAAATTTTCGATACGAATACGTGTACCGTTACACCCCTAGTACACACTAGGTCTACACTGTTCTCTATGAAGCATATCAGATGTTGTTTCCTTGGAATATGGCCAAAGGTGGTCACAGCTCTGCACTAAGAAACATACCTCCCTTCCCTGATGCAGCTCTTCCAAATCACCGCCCCACTAACAGACAGCATCCATGTGCAGCAAAGAATGAAAATAGAGGATTTCTTAAATGCATTTATTCTTTAAAGAAAAAGTGTGACACGAAACAGAAGTGGGATGGTAAAATAGAGGTTTGAGGTGAGAAAGTTGACTTTGTTGAACAGATGGCTGTGTGACAGGTCAGCGATGCCTCTGTATAAGACAGCTCATGTTGACTGCATTTCTATCGATGAGATGCACCTGCTTTGACAGCTTTGCTTCATGCTGACGCAATCTTCTCAACAGAAATCCCATTTCC